AGCTGGAGGAGCTGTGACACCCAGAGATCAGCCACAGAAATCTGGAAAAATTCACAGAAATTCTGGGAAAAACCACCCCAGTTAGAGCCAAGGTGTGGATTTGTAGCTGCCCTGCTCCACAGCTCAGTAACAGAGCAATTCTGGCAAAGGGTGAAGCTGATCCCCACCTAAACAGAGTTTTCCTTCAATAATTTCCTTCACTAATCACAGATCTGAAATATTCTGCTGCCTCTCTGCGATTTAAAAAAGCTTTTGACAGAACGGCCTTTGCATTATTAAAAAGAAGTAAAGATGCCCAAATACAATCCCATGGAAATTTTTAATCTTTTCATATGGAAGCCAAAATATTGGCTCCTTGAAGGGGGCCTGGGTTTTGTTGGAGGACATAAAAATTGCCTTTTAGGAGAATGAATTATAAACAAGATAAATATTTCACCTTCCAGATGTTCCCAGCGTAGTTCCTACTTTATACAGGGAGGGGTTGCCAGGATCTGCAAACAAGGAACAGAGTCACAAATGGCATCAAGTTTATGAAATGCAGTACAAAAAAAAAATATTTTTTAAACTTTATTTCAACTCACTTGAGCTCTGAAGTTGCTGTGAGGGAGATGAAGTGCTGAAGAACTTCCTGACGTGGTCGTTTTTCACCACATGGGAAGGGAATGGGGCCAGGTACCTGCAGCAAACAAAGGCCCTGCTCTGTTAGAGCCTCCCAAATCCATCAGGATTGCACTCTGGACAACACACTTGGAAATCAGATTGGAAATTGAAAAGCTGAAACACACCATGCCATTCTGAATTCTGGAAATTTATGGATATTCTTATTTTTAATACCAAACCCTGTTACCCCGGGGTTGTTTTCACTCTGGTGAGTGTTTCAGCAAAGACCCCTCATTCAGCAACCCTGAACAATCCTAAGGCAGAAAATGTTCAAATGTAAACTAGAAAATTGTCTTTCAAATGCAGGAACCTGAGGAATATAAAATAGAGATGGATCTGTTATTGAATTTCCTCCTCTTGGAGATAAACAGCAGATGCAGAGTCTGGCAGTTTAGGGCAAAACTTCTGTCACGTTTTCCCTGTGTCTCTTTTAAGGGAAAAAAGCCCTTTAAGAGCATTCCAGCTCCTCCAGGGGGCTGTGGGACAAGGGATGGAGGGGCAGGACAAGGAGGGACAGCTTTGAGCTGGAAGAGGATGGATTTAGATAAAATATTGAGGAGAAATCCTTCCCTGGCACAGATGCCCAGAGCAGCTGGGGCTGCCCCTGGATCCCAGGCAGTGCTGGACAGGGCTTGGAGCACCCTGGGACAATGGAAGGTGTCCCTGCCATGGCAGGGTGGGATGGGATGAGCTTTGAGCTCCCTTCAACCCAAACCACTCTGGAATTCCACCAAAAAAATCCAATTTCCCAAAGCTTTGCACCTGGCACCCCCAGAGGTGTTTCCCAGCTGGAAACCCCAGAGTTCAGGGCTGAATTTCACAGCAGAGCAGCACCTTGGAGCAGCCTCTCAGCCCTGGCAGGGCAGGGGCTGCTCCATTCACCCACATCTGCAGAGCTGCTGCTCCCAAGCAGGCACACACACTCCCAAACTCTCCTTGGAGCACGGCTGTCACAGACATTTTTTCATAGAAATCCTTTCTTTCACATTTGTCCATCTTCTGGGGAGCAAAGGCCCAGAAGATGAATGCAAACAATTGTTATCAGCTGCTGTGGGATGCACCTGTGAGTGCCTCATCTTCCATGTTTCCAACTGGGGGCCAATCTCAGAAGCAAAGCTCGGGGACAGATTCCCTGGAAGCATTTAATGCTTGGGAGATGAGGTTTAATCAACTTTGTTATTCATTCTTGCTATTCTATTCTCAGCTTAGCTGCTCTCTGCAACCTCTCTTTTTATTCTTTTTAGTATAGTTATAATGTATTACATATCATATATCAATAAATCCAGCCTTCTGATCAAGAAACAAGATTCTTGTCCTTCTCTCACCCCTCAGGTCGCTGTCATACACAGCAAGCACTGGCAATGCTGCCTGCCATGAAAAACAATCCAGCCTTGCACCTGCTGCCTGCCTCCCATGGAAAACCAACATCCACCATGGCTTAGGGAAAAAAAAATTAGAAACAATAAGCTCTAATAAATAATAAATAATTAATATTTTAAAGTGTCATTTAATTATATAATAATAAGATATTAGGATCAGAATAATACTAATATTAAAATAATCTTGTTTTGTGTAGATAAAGACAGTAGAAGCTGAAAGGAATTTGAGTCACTCCTATTTTCCTAGGAAAATCATATTGTGATCTGCCACAGATTATGATACTAAAAATATACTTTATATTAAATAATGGCCAGATGATTTGTGATAATTTGAGGAGGTACAAGGTAAGACTTCAAAAAATTTCTTAGCTCTTAAAGGCTTCCAAAAATGCAATCTTTTAATAATAGCTAAATACATACCTAACTTTTAAATATTAAAGTAAAATAAACACCTAAAATAAAATGACAACCTAAAATGAGAAAATAAAAACTCTGTGAAAGGGGAGAAAAAATCCCCACAAGCCATTCCTCAGTACAGATGGGTGAATATTCAGGCTTCTATTTTTTCCTGAGTTTTGAGTGGTTGTTTTAAACAATTCTGGTTATTTTTGAGTCCAAAACAAACTTTTGCAAAGCCAGTGATCCTCTATTTGTTCTTCACAAGGAATGAGGAAATATCAATTCTCCAGGAAGCTTAACACAGAATATTATTACCATCTGTATTTCTCAAGAAAGAATTCCTGAAAAATTGTTATGCACTGAAATTAATGGAACATCCAGGAAAAAAAGCTTAGGATCAGGCTCTAATTTCTTTGAAATAATTTAGAATATGGAGATAATATTTCTATTTCCTGGGGGTTTTTTTAGTTTTTCTCAGTGAAAGAAGCTCAGTGTCAAGATAAAAACCCCACAAAATCCCAGCATACCTCAGGTCTGATTCCAGGTCCATGTGGTTCCGTTCCAGGTAAAAGGAATCTGGACCAGCTAAGCAGGGAATGAATTTCTCCAAGTTTTCTTCTGGATACAGCTGAGACAGCTAAAGGGGGAGGATATGACAAATTAAACTTGAAAAGTTTTGTTATTTCTATGAGGTTCCGGTCATTGCCTGTTATAAATCAAATATTTTATTAAATTCAATCTGAATTATCTTGGCACATTTTGAGAAGTATCATTGAACAAAATTAGAGAGAGGGACAAAACTTTTTTTTTTTTCCTTTTCAAAGTGTTTTTATTATTGTTTTTACCTTTGAAATGAATTCAGTCACTTCAGCAGAAGATTTGGTTACCAATGTCACTGAAGAATCAGACCACAGGACCTAGAGGAGGAACCAAGAAGCATTTGCTTTAGTAATTAATTTAATTTGTTTCCTCAAAATTCACTAATTGGTATCAACTCTCCCTCACAGATGTTGTGAGGGGTGACAGCAAGAAGGAAACACATTTTTTTTGCGCACAAGGACAAAATTGGTGCCTAATTCTTGCTGTTTTTACATTTATCAACTGCTGTGGGTGCTTGGAAAAGCCCCTCAGAGTTTACACAGCCCTTACACCCTGCACACATCCAGAGTTAAGCAAGCAACCACCGAGTAATGGAATTTTTTCCCCTCATTATTGTTAAAGAAAACAGCTGCTTTGTAGGATCTGCTTTCCAACAGCAACGGCTCCCCCCACACAAGGCTGCCTATTGCTAATTAATCAACTCCATATGCCAGAAAAATTGAGAATGGCAGCAAAAATCCAGGCAAAACCCTCCCAGTGAAACCTGCAGCTCCTGCTCCAGACTCCATCTTGTCCATGCTCTAAAAAAAGGGAATATTCAATATTTCTTCCCACACAAACAAGTCATGAAGCCTTTGGATATTGAAGCATTTATTGCTTGGGAAATGAGGTTTAATCAAGCCAAAAATCAGGATTTTTGGAAAATCAGCATGAGACAGGCCAGGGGTGAATCCCTATGGATCCAAAATCTCCATTGGAGCATCTGGAGGCAGCTGGATCACAGGGAAGGAGCTGGGTGGGAGTTTGGGGATCACAGAGCAGCCTCTCTCTCACATGACATTCGTTTCAATGACAACTCCAAACATACACAAAGTTTTTCCAGCCATCCAAAAGCTGCCAAAATGAGTGGGGAGAGGAGAGGATTTCAAAATATATTACATAAGGGAGGAATTTCCTCTCAGCAGAGCTGTTACACAAAAAAAAAGGGGGGGAAAAGAAGACAGGAACTTGAGCAGTTTTACCAAGTTTGTGGGTTGGTTTTTTTAAAGTTTGTGGAAAATAAATATTCTTTTTTTAATTCACAAGGAATTTCAGAAAGTACAGGAAATATTCTCTTTTTTTCTAGCTCTGTAATAACTCAACAACTGTCATGACTTCTGTTTTAACTTGAATTTTCAATACTTATAAAACAATAATGTGAATTGTAAATGGGGGGAACAATAGCACTGCAAACACTAAACTGCTCCATCCATTGACCTGCTATTCCCAAGCTCCTAAACAAAACAAAACCATTCCATAATTGGGTTTTTAACCCAGCAAACAGCAATTTATCAACTCAGCTGAAGTCTCTGCTCTTCCCTCAGTTCAAGCTGTTGAGGCAAACACTGGGTACAGTAATTTCTGTTATTTATAGAAAAATTTGTAATAGGAAAAGAAGTTTCACGAGATCTTAATTGGAGTGGAGACAACTGCAGGCTTCATAGAGAGCTTGAAAAGCCCTTGGAAAAATCCTGTCTGTGATTGATGACATTTGGAACAATTGGGGGATTCAGCAAATTTGGGACATTCTCCATGAATGCAGTCCTGCAGAGGTTAATGCTGCCAAATCCCAACAGATGCTGAGGAGTTTTAAGGAATAACTTGGTGAAAGTTGTGGATAATTGGGTTCCTTTTGGTTTCCCCTTTTCTCACTCCCCTGCTTTGTCTCATCCAACAAACCAAAGCTGTTTTCTGGGCTGTGCATCCCAAATTTTGGAATACTTNCAGCTTACGTCTCTCGTTCTCCTCGGCGCTGTCCGAGCTCTCCTCCCGCGCCTGGATCCCCATGGGGCTGGAGCTGGAGCTGGAGTACTCGGAGGAGCTGCCCTCCCGGGGCAGGGGGTGGGCTGCCTGATCCACGTCCACTCGCAGCTCTGCGGGCACAGGGGACACGGAGGTGACACGGAGGTGACACTGACAGCACCTCAGCAGGACACTGAGGCCGTGCTCAGCATTTACAGGGACACATCACAGGTGGAACAGAGGAACTGCCCATTCCCTCCAGAGCCATGGGAAAATCGCATTTTATTACCCCCAGTAATCACCAAAATCAGACTTTTTGCTCGCTCCCCATGAAGCCAATGGTTTTTGGGAGATCAAGCTTGGGGAAGCAGCAGCACAGGAGGGAGGTGAGCCTTGTGCAGGCACAGCTGGGCACAGCAGTGCCCCCTGCTCCCCTCACCTGCAGCGTGGTTGCCCCGGAGGCTCTGGATGGGCCCCACGTGGGAAGTGGGGGGAACCCTGGCCACCCCACTGCTGGTCACTGAGGAAGGTGTGGAGGGGTTTAGGCACCGTTTCTCTGACTTCTCCCTGCAGGGTGATGGAGAGAAGTGTGAAGAGACAGAAAGTGGCTAAAACACAAATAAATAAATCCATTTCTGAATGAACCCAAAGCAGACAAAGCCCATTGAACAATCCACTGCTGCTGTGCCCATTTCAAATGGAAACACTTGGAAATCACAGCAGTGCTGACCAGAACTGCCAGCACTTAGGGTTGGACTATTTGCCATCTGATTACAGCCCTATGCTCTTATTTGTCCAGGGTAAAACATCACCAAACCCTGACTAAACTCTAAAATTCTGTCACATATTATGTCAGCACATCCCAAACCCAAAGAGAAAACAAACACAGCCCCAAGTTTTCCAAACAAACTCTGGAAAAACTAAAATTGCTGGTAAATGCTGCCAAGGAGCTCTGAAAAATGGGCACAGATTTGGATTTCTAATTGCTGTTTAAGGAACAGCAGAAGCTGCAGAATATACACTTTCCTGTAAGTGGAGATGCAAAAACCAGGACAATCTGTTGCATCAGTGTCCCCAGAGGGCTGTCACAGCTGCCTGGGGTCACTGTGGGACACTGAGGCAGCTCCTGAAGTAGCTGAGCTCCATCCACACGGATGGGAGCCACAAAATTGTCACTTGCTAGGAAATAAAGGCCTGAATTTGGGAGTGCATCCCCTGGGCTTGCAAACCCAACAGCTCCCACCAATGTCAAGTGGATGGGAAGCCCGAAATCTTTGCAAGAAATGTGATACAAGTTTAAAAAACCTAAACACAATGTGTGTTTTTTGTAGATTTAAAGATTTGGTATCCTTATCACAACCCTGACCAGGCAGCAGTAAACCAGAAAGTGCTAAATATTGTTTAATAACAGAAATAATAATCATCCATATCTCCAGGTGGGAATCATGGCAGGTTTGTGCTCTGGGAAGTAAAATTTGCATTTTTTGCCCATAAAAGAAGTTCACCCAGCCCTCACTTACTTCTCCAGCTCTAGTTGGGTCTTGAGCTTCTTCTTTGCTCCCATGGTGAGGGACTCAAACTTATTCAGATCTTCCTCAGTAAGACTCAGAAACTTGGAAAGAAAAAATATGTTTAGTTTTATACCCTGAAATATTTTTATTCCCATTTTTAGTGAATAGCAATTCCAAAAGCCAACTTTAAAACCATTTTTAAATTCAAAGAAAGTCTCTACTCCAGTTTTCAATTATAGTGTAAAAGGAAAGTGTGGGGGACAGGCATGAAAGGAAGAAACCTGCAGATTTAATTTAATTAGGTGTGTGCTTGTATTAACCAGTCACAATAAAGATGAAATAACTCATGTACATATTAAAATAGAATTAAATTAAAACAGAACTTGGTGCTATCAGTGAATTTAAGGACCTTAGAAAATCACTCCAGTTTTCCCAGTGTGTCATTTACCACAGAAGTGGAGTAAAAATATACACCAATAGTAAATTTAATAATAAAATATAGAGATAGATACAGACATTTATATTATAATGTAATTAAAGTGATAGCCAGTGAAGTATGCATAATAATATTTGCTTTTTAAAAATACAGTGGAATGTAGAGTTTTACTACTTTATTAAAGAAAAAAAAAAAAAACCCACAGTATATTTCCCTTCTTATAATGAAGAAAATTAAATCAGAAGCCTCTGGTAAGAGATTGAAATTAAATCCATAAAATATTCCAAACCAGCACAAAGCTGAGCCCAAGCCCTCCCTCCACTGGAGGGCGTTCCAGGCCAAAACACAGAGGACAAGGAATCTCCCTCTGGAGCTGGGAAAATGCTCCAAAACCTTGTGGAGATCAAATCCAGCACACACAGGTGTGATCTGGGGCTCTTGCAATGCAAAGACATAAGAGAAGATTTTTCCCCAGGAATTTCTGCAGGAAACAAACCTCACTCACTCATGTTCATACTCATGAGTGAGTATGAAAATCTATTTCTTAAAATGAGGATAACCAAATATTTTGGGAGAAAAATCAACCAAGAAGCAGAAATTAGGAGGAATCAACATATTGATTTTTCAACAGGTATCTGCAGCACACAAAGGGAAGTTCAGGGAGCCAAGCAGAGCTGATGAGGCAGCAGCTGTTGGACATCCCAGCTGGGTCTCCAAGCGCTCCATGAGGAAGCCTGGGAGAAGCAGCAGCTGTTGGACAGCCCCGGACACAACACAGTGAGAACAGCAAGAAGGTTTTCATCAATTCATTACTGCTTTCATAAAGTGAAAACCTCCCCAGCGCAGAGGGGGGCATATGTNCCACTGCCACTCTGTGCCACAGCACTGCCCCCACTGCCACTCTGTGCCACAGCACTGCCCCCACTGCCACTCTGTGCCACTGGCATTGCCCTCACTGCCACTGTCAGTGCCACAGCACTGCCCCCACTGCCACTCTGTGCCACTGGCACTGCCCCCACTGCCACTCTGTGCCACAGGAACTGCCCCCACTGCCACTCTGTGCCACTGGCACTGCTGCCACTCTGTGCCACTGGCACTGACCTTACTGACACTCTGTGCCACAGCACTGCCCTCACTGCCACTGTCAGTGCCACTGGAACTGCTGCCACTGCCACTCTGTGCCACAGCACTGCCCTCACTGCCACTGGCATTGCCCTCACTGCCACTCTGTGCCACAGCACTGCCCACACTGCCACTCTGTGCCACTGGCATTGCCCTCACTGCCACTCTGTGCCACAGCAGTGCCCTCACTGGCACCCAGGCCAGGCTGCCTCAGCTCACCCAGCAGCTCCTGCCCTGCCCTTCCTGCTGGATGGACACCCCTCTGCTGGGAAGGGTTTTATTCCCTTTGCCAGCACTTTCAGCCCATGGTGAAATCCCCCCCCAGTCAGCTCCCCCAGCTCCTGCTGCACTGAGGTTTCCTCAAGGGTAGGAATGTGCCCCCTGTGGATGGAGTGACTCAGTTATTGTTTGCATAAACAGGCAGAAAGCCCAGAAGTTTCTCCCAAAGACACCTCACAGCACCTTTGGGACTTCACCTCAAACCTGAGGCTGCCAATTGGACAGAGGCCAAGAGGTCCCACCTAGGGAATTCACTAGAAAAGGAAGAGAACAAAGGAAATATTTGCTTTTGTGGGGTGTTCTAGCAGAAGCAAGAACCTCTTGCCCCTGGCTTGGTTTTCCTCTGTAAGAGTTTGTTATTTTGCCTTTTATTAAACCTTTTTCTGTTTCCAGCACTGCCTCAGAGCCATCCTGCTGATTTGATGCTGTTTGGGGTAGCTGGGCTATCTCAGGTGTGATGGGTTCTCTGAGAGCTCACAGGAGAAACCCAGCACTCAGCCCTGACCAGTTCCCAAAGCTTTTCTCTACTCCCCAACCTTTTGGAGCCACATCCCACCAGAGACTCCCTCCCTGCCCCTTTCCAGCAGCTGTGCCCTCAGAGCCCACACTGTTCTTTGTCCAGATTAAGACTTAAATTCCCTCTGGTTTCTGCATTCCAGCAGAAGAATGGACATTGGATGTAGAGATGGATAATATCCTGTAAGGGTGGCATCATATTTCCCCCTAAACAAACACTGCCAAAATTTCCTCCATTAAAATGTTTTTTGGGGATTTTTTTTTGCCAATCCCCACCTACCAACCTGTGCATCATCCACAGCCATTTATGACTTTCAAATCATTGATTAAAAGCTATCAGTCCCAAAGGAGCTCTGCTTTCACAAAGGATTTTTGGGATCTAACAATAAAGTTTGAAAATTTCCTCAAGCCCTCCTAAAGTATTATCCTCCCTTCTTTCACAGGAAAGGAAACCCAAACTTACCTCAAAGGAATACTCAACATTTCTTTCATTCTTCTTGTGTGCCAGCCCCTTCAATTCCACTTTTTCAACACTCACTGTGGAAAAACAAAGAGAGAAGATGAATGAGGAGGATGTTCCTAAATAGAGACAGAAGTGATGACTTTTGGGAAGTGCCAGGCCCTGTTTTGAGAGCATCCCATGACCTGTGGAGGTGCTCCAGGTGCCCAGTTCCAACTTCCTCCCTCAGGAATGTTGGTACCACCACATCATGCTGTTTTCCAGACTTGGGAAGGTTTCATTCCAAGCAGTTTCAACCCAAATAATCCACTCCAAGCAAAGCTCTTATCAGCCCACTCATCTCTGTGATAACACACGTGGAATTATCTGAATAGCACCAAGGAGCAAAGCCCATCCCTGCCAGGGGAACTGGCATGAGGAAGAACTCTCCATGTTTTCAGGCCTGGCTTTACAAGTTCAGTGTGGTTTCATGGCTCTGTTCACATCCTGACTCCTCCCTTCCTGCAGCTTCACAGAAAAATTCAAAATTGGAATAAGGTGCAAGTAAAAGCAGGATCTGAGTGTGGAAAGGATGGAATGCCAGCACAGGTCACCTTACACATCAGATATTTGGTGTGCTGAGTTCTGGGAGACTCCCACTTCCCAAGACACCCAGAGAAGAATTCACCATGAAAAACCTTTATTTCATCAACTTTCAATTCTCTTATAAATTCCTCCTGCCTTTGACTGCACTCATGGGGATACACACATGGATTTTTTCTTACAAAAAAGCCAATTTACATTGGCTTAAAACTCCAAAAGCAGAATTATCCCAACCCAGAGTCAGTAAAATGTCACCTGTGAGTGCAGGGCCTGAAGGCACACGTGCTGTGCCTGGTGTGTTGTCACTGAGCAGTCCTCACAAGCAGAGCCCAGAATTCTGTCACTTCATTCCCACAGAATCCCCATTTACAAGCTGCTGTCCTGTTTTCAGCACTGTTTATTATTAACTTGTTGTTATCAGTAAGACTCAACCCAATGTTTATCACATGGAGCTTCCTCCTGAGTGCCCAAGGAAACAGTGCAGTGAAATGCCAGCAGCACCATTACAACACCTGGCCTGTGTCACCTCCCTGTCCCTGTCCCCAGGGAGGCTCCACCCAAGCTTGAGTTCCCTCTGTTTCCCAACACTTGTGGCCTGAAGGTTTCCTTGAGATCTTTTAAATTTTTTATTGTGTTTTTAGAGAATCTTAGAATGGTTTGGGTGGGAAAGGACCTTAAAGCCCATCCAGTTCCAACCCTGACACCTCACACCAAAATCTCTTCTTTAAATTTTATTTGCTGTGAAAATTTTGAAAGCCCCCAAATTGAGCTCTACAGATGTTTGTGGCTGTCTTTACATGGAGAAAATGAACATTCCTGTTCTGACCCTCCTCCATGTAATTCCCAATTACAATGACATCAATCCCTGGGCTTAGGAATAATGTCAATGCATTACTTACTGCTTTCTCCTGCACATTCTGCTTTTTTGGAGAGGTTTGTTCCTTTCAAAAGATTTCACTGGGCTCCTCTCACGCTTCTGAAATGATTTTGTGCCCCATGCTGAGCACCACAGGGATAAATCTGCTCACCAGACACTGCTGAGCCATCCACACAATATTCAGTGGTATGAAGGTTTGAACATGAAGATTTGAAAAGGTTAATTTAAAAAAAAAAATCTACCTCAGTACATTTATTTGTGAGAACTCAGGGCCCCCTGAGTTGTGATCACAGCTAAAATAAACTGAATATTGATTGGAATTGTGAGTACTACAGGATTATAATGAGAAAGAATGTGTAAAATGGGTATTGAGAGGGGGAATGTGGTAAAGCAGCTGAAGGATGAGCAAATAACTTGCAGAAATCCTGGTGTCAACTGCTGCAACATCTGGTTTTGAAAAACACAGCCTGTGTTATGCAACATTTGTTGTTTATAGCAAAGCCAGCATCACTTTGCTGCAACTGTTCTTATCATTTGGCATTTCCAAAGGATTCAAAGCCCATCTCTTCCAGACATTCATTTTTCATCTCCAGCAATTGCAGCAGAATTGGATTACTCAGAGACATAAACCCAAGCTATTCCTGTTTCACTCTGTGGGTTAATGACAAACCTTAAATCACCCCTGGGTCTGGGGGTGCTGACAGTGCCACAACCTTTCCCTGCCCCAAGTCTGGGCTGAGCCTGCCCAGTGAATAAAACCCACTGCAGTGAATTTATCCTGGAAAAGGACTGCAATGAGAAAAATGGACCTTTAGGTAGAGATTTCTGCACTGATTCTGTAAGATGAGCTCTGTTCTAGAGCAGGAAATGCAGTTCCTGTGCTGGACAGGCTTTGGGGACAACCAGCTGGATAATTCCTCATATCACACAAAGAGCTCCAGGAATTTTCTCCCAGCTACCTAAAATATCCTGAAAAACATCACCTGCCTGAAGAAATCTTGTTTCATTTATCAAGCTGTGTGTTTGTGCTCTGTGGCCTCTCACCTACTCTGTGTGTTGTTTAACTTCTGGTTGCTTTTATTGAAATAACCTTCCTAAACCTACCCTGAAGCTTTGCTTTATTCAATCAGTGCTACAGAACTCCAGAAGAAAAGGTGCCATCCACCAAGTACAAAGGGAAGAAAAAAAAAAAAGATATATTTTTATTTACTGCTTTTACTCTCAAAAGCTCAAAGAGCTGACTCTACTCAGTATCCCAATAAATGAGTCCAGAGCAGAAAACCCTTTGCACAGAATTAAGGACACATGATACTGATGGTTTTTCAGGATGCTGAATCCAGCAAAACTCCAACTTCCCAACCCAGGGGACACAAAAAGTTAAAATTCCTAATTCAGGAGATTCCCAAAGTTCAAGTTCCTAATTCAGGAGATTCCCTGAGTATATTTGCACTGGCAAAGGGGCACGTGAGGCCTTTTGCCGTGGAGATTTATCCAGAAATATCTGGGAAATTGCAGCAGGTGAGTGGAACAGCTGGATGGGATCCCCAGGAGAGGGGGACAGGAAAACAAAGGGGGTTGGGGAAGTTCAGGGTGCAGGAGCTCCATCGGGGCTGTGGCACCACCTCTGCCATCATCCCTTAAGGGGGTTTGAAAATCATTATTTGTTGCTCTCTGTGAACACAAGAGCAGCATTTTCCATGTGGTTCTGGAGCCCATTTCAGGGTATCCACATGGAAGGCCG